TATATTTGATGTGAGAATATCTTTCTCTCTCTCTCTCTCTCTCTCTCTCTCTCTCTCTCTCTCTCTCTCTCTCTCTCTCAGTGCTCATGTCTAGGACACCTGAAGATGGTAGCTTAGAACTACACGGAATCTTTAAAATGTGCTTACTCCTTGGGCAGAAATTGCTTCAGGTTCTTTATTCTATGAAAAAGCAAAGGTCTTCAAATATAGACACAAGGATATTAAACCCAACGTTGACTACAGTAGCTAAAAAAGTTTACTACCTGAAGACTACTAAATTATAGTAATTCTCATAATAATGTAGAGCCATGAATTATAATAATGTTAAAATATATTAGTAAAGAAAGAATATAACATAGACTGTAAAAAGGGGGAAATGGCTATAAAATGCACATGTCATTTAAGCATGTAGTGACAGTATTGTCAACTTGACAGGATCTGCAACCACCTAGAAGAATCTATGCACATCGGTGAGGGATTATCTAGGTTAGGCTGTCTTCTAGGTATGTGGCATGGGGATTATCTCGATTGTATTAATGGAGGTGGTAAGCTTGCCCTCTGTGGGTATTGTCATTCACTGGCTGGGACCCTGGACTCTTAAATGGAGAAAAGAGCTGAGCAGGCCCATGCATTCAGTGCTCTCTGTTCCTGACTGTGGATGAGATGTAACCAGTTGCTTCAAGCTCCTGCCACCTTGACCTCCCTGCCTTGATGGACTGTGTCCTTGAATTGTGAGCTGAAACAAGCCCTTTCTCCATTAAGTTGCTTTTGTCAGAGCACCTTATTACAGCAATAGGAAAAAAAAAAAAAGAAAACTAAAACAAATGTTTATGAGAGGATGTTCATATAATTAGTCAGTTACAACTAAACAGTTCAGAGGCAATACTGAGTACCTCCACAGTGTTTGCCAGATGCTACTTCTAGTTAGTTCCAGAACATTTTCATTGCTCCAAAAGGAAATGTGAACCCACTGAGCATCTTGTGATCCTCTCCTCTCAGCCCCTGGCCACCACACATCTTGGTTTTGCTCTTCGGATTTGTCTGCTGCGAATGTTTCTTCTGTGAATGGAATCACACAGTGACTTGTCTCTGGCTTCTTCCACTTAGCGTTTTGGAGGTTCATTTGCCCTTTGGCAGTAGCTGTGTTCTTTTTATGGCTGAACAACATTCCAATGCACATGTACATTGCAATGAGTATCAGATCTTCACTCTGTGAAGAATGAGAATATGTGAGAATAGTGTGCTATGAATATTGGTGCATTGCCCCAAATCCTTTTAATTACACAAATGTTAGAGAACAGGGGCTGGAGAGATGGCTCAGGAGTTAAGAACACTGGTTGTTCTTGCAGAAGACCCAGGTTCGAATCCTAGCACCCACATGGCAGCTAAGCTGCCCATAACTCCAGTTCCAGGGGATCTGACAGCCTCTTCTGACCTCTGCGGGCATTGCACAACACAGGTGAACTTACCTACACACAGGCAATACATGCATACACATAAAATAAAAATAATAAATAAAATATTAAAAAAACAAATGTTGGAGAACAGTTTGAGAACTATTAGCCATAATTTGGGAGGTGGGGGGATTACACATGACTTAAAATTATCACCTTCCATTTCTTAACATGAGGAAAATAAAACTTACCTAATTGGACTATTTTTAAAAATTAAATACTGTAACATACTTAGAAATATGTGGGTGGAAGCTAAGTACTCAATTCATGATATTTTAAATTTATTTTTATTTATATGTGCTTATGTGAATGTATGCTACATATGTGGAGGTGCCCAAGGAGGCCAGAAGAAGGTGTTGGATTCCCTGGAGCTGGAGATACAAGCAGTTGTGAACCCGGGGTACTGGGAACCAAACTGCAGTCTTCTGCAAGAGCATCAAGGGCTCTTAACCACTGATCTATCTCTCCAGCCCCTTCATGATATTAAAAAAAATCCTTTGGCTTTTATATTTTGGATATGTTTAAGACATTTTCCTCTAATGCAACACACATTGGCGATAAAGAGGCTTTTATTTTTAACTTGTGTGTATTTGCACAGGGCTTACTTAGTATGCACATTCCCCTTTGCTAGTGTTCATTTGGGCTGGTGCCAGTCCAAGGCTATTTGATGTGATGTCATTTTGACTAGGTAGAGTTCTACACTGTACTTCTCCTTCCAGGTTTCAATTCAAACGTTCCAGGTAGCGGGGTCTTCTCCTGCCGGCTGCCATAGCTCCTCCAGCTTTTGCTTCTGCATTGCTTTCCGATTCGAACACAATCAGCTAGGTTCTCCATCTTAGGAACGGAGAAATAGGTAAAAAGACACCTGATTTTTTCATACACCTCTAGGAAAATGTTAGATTCAGGTCTTACCAAATAAACCAGTTTCCCCCAGAATATTTCTCCTTACCTTCTAGAAAACCTCCCATTTTATTTTGCGCTAAAAACTCAAACTTTGCCAAATAATGAACATCTTGATAGTAGACTCGAGGCCAGGAGTTCTTCGAGCTGCGCGGAAGCGCCTTAGGCCCCCGGGTTTGGGAGGCGGGGCCGAGCGCGCCGCCAGCCGGCAGCCACGTTGCTTGGGTGCCGAGGCCACGGGTTCGAGTCCCGCCACTGAGACCTCCAGCCGGCAGGTGTCGGGAGGTGGGACCGGAGCCTCGGGGGCGGGGCCAGGCGGGCGGGGCCCAGGCTCGGTCCCCGCCCACACCGGCCGCGGCAGCGCCTCCCCCCCGGCTCAGCCTAGCTCCGCCGCCCGCCTCGCCCCCGCGTGGCCTCTGCTTTCTCTGTCCCTTGGCTCCGGCCTCGCAGAGTCTGCAGCGGGGCGCCGGGAAGATGGCGGCGCCGGGAGGCCGCGCGGGGGACGCGGGCCCGGAGCCGGGTCCCTCTGCCGGGGCGCCCGGGGAAGCCGCGGAGCGGGTGATGCATCCCGGGGAGGTCTCCACTCTGCACCCGGAGGAGGTGGCCGCGCGGTTGCAGCGGATGCGGCGGGAGCTGAGCAATCGGCGGAAAATCCTGGTGAAAAACCTGCCCCAGGACAGCAGCTGCCAGGTACTGGCCGCAGGCCGAGTGGACCGGGTCGGGTTCGGGGACACCGCTGTGGCCAGGAGTCCCAGCTCTTGCCGGCGCTGGGAAGAGGGTGATGGGGGTGATGTAGGTGGAGGAGGGCTGTGGAGCTCAGATTTGAGGGACCTGCTTCGGGAGCACCTCTCAAGAGGTCAGGGGTCCCGCGTGGGGTGTTCGGGACTTGGATTGCCAGGAGGGGGCGGGGTCACGGGAGCGCTGAGAGTTGTGCTGCAGCTGGAGCACTTGACCAAGTTTGTATGAATAACTTTGCTCCCTTTGCTAAGGCCCTCGGAGAACCGAGGGTAATACCTCGCCGGAGTCTTGCAGCCTTCTATTAAACCAAGTACAGCAGATTTGTTCCTCAGTGATTTCCGTAGGGTTTAAAGATAAACTACTCTGTGTGGTTAATCCAGATTAGCTGTTGCTTCTGGATTAGAAAGCCTAGATTGATTTAACTTTTTTTTTTTCCTAATCGCAGAAGTTAAAAGCTAAAGCTTATGGTAGAAAGCTAGAAAATTTCAAGAAGTGTTTACCTGCGTTCCCTCTTTCTCTCCTTCTCCCTCCCCCCTCTCCTTTCTCTTTTGCTCTCGTCCCTCCTATCTCCCCCCCCCCCCCCCCCCCCCCCCCGCTTTGTCTGTCAGACAAAGTCCTTGAACTCCTGATCCTCCTTCCTCCACCTTGCTCATCCGGGTATTACAGGTGTGTACCACCACACCCAGCAAAATAGGAGAAAGAGAGAAAGGGGTGGGGGGGACTGTGTGTGGTGTGCGATGTTATGAATGCCAGACAAGCACTCTACCACCTGAGCTACATCCCCTGGGATGTTAAAGTTCTCTTCTCCTCTGCAAATGTATGCATATGCATTTGTTTTTATCAAAAACGTGAGACAATTGAATAGATTCTTCAGGGTTTCTTCAATATCCATATGCTCACATATTTCATGTATGTTTATATCTAGAGTGTGGTGGACTGCCCAGATAGGTGGAGATTTGGGCAGATTCATGAAGGTCCTTTTGTGACTTGAAACAGAGTTACAAGGGGGCTAGCTGTTGACAGTTCATGGCAGTTCTTCCCTGTTGACCCATAGAATTTGACAAATGATCACCTCATTACTGCTGTTTGACTTTATGCAGACATAATATGAGCCTGTAACCACATAACTCATTTGCAGGTGGGGTCATTTTGTTTCTAAATGCAGAGCAAAAATAAAAAAAAAATCAGTTAATGCTTTTTTAGCTCATCCCTGTTAACTTGTGACCTGCCGTGCTGCCGACCTCCCTTCTGTCAGATGATTTTTGTGCTGCTACCTGAAGGAGCTCTCTCATGGAAAAAGCAACCTTCCTGCCATGCAGAGAGGACTGCCAGGGAGCTCTGAGAGAGGGGGGCTTGGGAGAAGCAGATGGCATTTCTACAGCACAAGTTAAAGATGCAGCATCTCTGTGGTAGATAATTGGGTAGAAGATGGAGAAGTGTCTTGATTCCCTTTGTAGAATGCCAACTATTTCTGTTAGAACATTTCCCTGCATGATTCTAAAAATACTGACATGCAAATCCAAGTCAGTTCTGCCTGTTCTTGCTTTGCTCGATTTGCTGTTATCTTTTGCACTTCTAGTCTCAAAAGAGGTGGGCAATATCCCCAAGGGCCTTCGATTGGTTTTAATTCTGCCTCTTATCTGAGGTGAAGGCAGGCTTTCTGAAAATTGCACCTGTGATTGTTTGGGGGATACTCTTTCTCTGTTATAACTTTCTGTTTAATATAAATCTTAAGATTTTCGGTAAAAGTAGCAAGTGCAAACTAACAAAATTGGCTTAATCTCTGTCTCTGTGTGAAGCAGTTTAAATTCTTGCACTAAGTTCAATTCTTATGCCGATTTTTTTTGAGAATGGAAGAGATTAATTTAAAAACCAAAACACAGCTGCCAGTAATGGTCAAGGTTGGTAAGTCAAGATCTCCAGACTTGTCCTTGTGTTTATCTTTTCTGTAGTAATTTGCATAATAAAATGATTTAATAGTTCTGATGTATAGTTTTAAAATCTAAACAGATCAGTGTTCTATGATGTATAAGACTTGCTGGAACATGGTCTTTGTTTTTTCCCCATTGTCGTTATTATTTGTACCATCTTACTAGTTTTCTGATCTTGTTGTAACTAACAGTGGCCAGAGTTACATAAGTAAGTATGTTAATTTTTAAAAGTAATTAAAGGATAGCCCTATAAATTATTTTGGTTAATAAATAATGGCTATTTTTGCTTGTCTAGTAAAATTAATTTTTGCAGTATCTACTTTTTTTTCAACTGTAATATTTTCTTTTTAAAGATTTATCTTTTAGTGTGTGTGTGTGTGTTTGCCTGCATAAGTTTATGTGCACCATGTGCATGCAAGATCAGTGGAGGCCAGAAGAGGGCACTGGTTACCCTAGAACTGTAATTGTAGGTAGTTGTGAGCTGTCATGTGGGTGCTGGAAACTGAACCTGGGTCCTTTGCAAGAGCAGTAACCACTCTTAACTCCTGAGCCATCTCTCTAGCTCCTCAAGTAAAGTATTTTCTTTTTTAAAGATGTTTAATATTTTATTTATTATTTTTATTTTATGTGAAAAATGTATTGCCTGCATGTATGTAAGTGCATCTGTGTTGTGCAGTGCCCACAGAGGTCAGAAGAGGGCATCAGATCCCCTGGAACTGGAGTTACAGACAGTTGTTAGCTGCCATGTGGGTGCTGGAACTTGAACCCAGGTCCTCTGCAAGAGCATCTGGTGCTCTTATCAGCTGAGCCATCTCTCCAGCCCCTATTTTACATCTTTAAGCCAAGAAAGATTACATTATATTTCCTGAACTAAAACGGCATACTTCTGTTATAAATGATTTTGTTTAGTTATCAACGTGATAGATATTTGAAATATTCTATTTCTAGAAAAGTTTATTGCTCATTTATTTTAAAATTTCACATTAAGGGGTAAAGGATATTCTTTTTTATTTATTTATTTTTATTATTTTTATTTTGTGTGTATGTGTGTATTGCCTGCATATAGGTAAGTGCACCTGTGTCATGCAATGCCCACGGAGGACAGAAGAGGCTGTTGGATCCCCTGGAACTGGAGTTACAGACAGTTGTTAGCTGCCGTGTGGGTGCTGGGATTCGAACTCAGGTCTTCTACAAGAACAATCAGTGTTCTTAACCACTGACTCATCTCTCCAGCCCAGGATATTCTTAACGCTAGCTTTCAAACTATGTTGTTATGTCTCTAGAAAAATTACTGATTGGTAAGTGATTAATAAGAACCCAAAAGTTTTCTCTTAACATTAAAAAAACTGGATATTTTCTTTTTCTTAATATGTTAGTGTGTTTACTTATGTACATATGTGTATACTTATGTGGATGGGTGCATGCGGGGGTGTGTGCAGGTACACATGCACATGTGTGTGTGTGGAGACCAGAGGCCAGCCTCTGGTGTCATCCTCAGGAATGCTGTCTTGCGGTCTGCCTCTTCTGAGACAGACTCTAATTGGTCTGGAGCTCACCTATTAGGCTAGGCTGGCTGGCCAACAAGCTTCAGGGATCATCCTGTCTCTGCCTCCCAGCACTGGGATTACAAGTGCATATCACCTTGTTCTACATGTTCACATGGGTTCTGGGGATGGAACTTGGGTCCTAATGCGTATGAAGCAAGCACTTTACTATCTCTCTAGCCCCTGGATATTTTCATTTTAAACATAATTTTTCTAAATCAAATTCTGTTTAATTTCTTTTATATGTTTGTGTAACGTTTACAATGATATTCAACAGCTTTATGTTTTCTAAAATTAAAGTACATACTGGAAGCATCTTTCAGTGCAACCTTTAGGAGTACACACACCAAATATATATATTAACTATAAAATATTGCTAGGCCTAGTGGCACAGGTCTGTAGTGTCTGTTACTTAGGAGGCTAAGTCAGGAGCAATGGAAGTCAAAGACCTTCCTGGGCTGTAGAGAAAGTTCAGGACCAGCCTGGGCAATTTAGTGAGATTCTATCAAAATAAAATAAAATTTAAACTAAAACTTCTTTAAAAACTAATAGTTATACAAAGAATACTGGGGATATAGCTCAGTGGTAGAGTCCTTGCCTAGCACACACAGGTCCCTGGGTTTGGTCCCTTGTACTGAGGGAAAACAACCCTAGAGTAGAAAAATAAATAGCATGCTTAACTACACGTACACATATGGGTATATCAAGGTCTTCATATTTATACATTCTCAAAAGATTTCTTACTGAATAATTACTGTGAATTAGTTAGACCCCATCTCACCTGCCTTCTTAATTTTCTGAAATCTTTCTAGCTTTCTGTTTTCCCAGTCTTAGCTTTACCTTTTACAGAGACAATGGTAACTCTTCAGTTTGTCACCTGTGGTCCTGTGTTTTATGTCCTTCATACTGCTTCACTTGAGACACATGTCCCTTTCCTGCTTTAAAAGAACTGACCCTAGACTGGGGAGATAGTTCACTGGATAACTCCCATGCTTTGCAAGCATGGAGACTGGAATTCTGATCCCCAGAACCCAAAAGCTTGGCAGACATGGCAGCCACCTGTCATCTTAACACCCAGGAGACAGGGACCTGGGATCCCCAAGGCAAGCTGGCAAATCCCAGGTTCAGCCAAAGACCCTGCCTCAATAGAGCAGAAAGTGATTGAGGAAGATACTCCTTGTCAACTTTGGGCCTCCACATGCACTCACATGCATATGTACATGCACTTTCAAACACATGTGCACACACAGGCAAACACATGCACACATATACATACAGAAAGTTTTAAAAGTTGTGTATGCCTTTAATCTCAGCACACTGGAGGCAGAAGCAGTCAGATCACTGTGAGATTGAGGCCAGCCTGGTCTATATAGCAAGTTCCAGGCCAGCTGGGGCTACAGGGAGACACTGTCTCAAAAAACAAAGTTTTAAGAATTAAAAAAAAAAAAAAAATTCTACAAACCTCTGTGGCTCACAT